CCCCATAGACGACAATATACAAATCTCATACTGCAATTAAACTCCCCATAGACGACAATGTACATGTCTTATACTGCAATTAAACTCCCCATAGACGACAATGTACATATCTTATACTGCAATTAAACTCCCCATAGACGACAATGTACATATCTTATACTGCAATTAAACTCCCCATAGACGATAATGTAAATAATAATATTAAAATATTTTTTAGAGGAATTTAGTAATCCGAGGTTGTGGGTAGATGCAGCAAGCCAAAATGCATGGGACACCGGGGCGGCTGCTGGCCTTTTTGTAGCATATGCCTCCTACATGACACGAGAAAATGGAATCGTCCGATATGCTTTCACAATTCCAATATGCAATAATCTAGTCAGGTATGAATTTTATTTTAAAAATAAATTAACGATTCGCACATGTTAAAATGACAATTCACACATGTTAAAATGACAATTCACACATGTTAAAATGACGATTCACACATGTTAAAATGACGATTCGCACATGTTAAAATGACGATTCACACATGTTAAAATGACGATTCGCACATGTTAAAATGACGATTCGCACATGTTAAAATGACGATTTGCACGTTAATATGACGATTCGCACATGTTAAAATGACGATTCGCACGTGTTAAAATGACGATTCACACATGTTAAAATGACGATTCGCAGATGTTAAAATGACGATTCGCACATGCAACGAAAGTTGATTACGCCAATTAAAATTATTGTCAATTTGTTATTCCAGTTTAGTGTGTGGTATGATGACATTCGCAACGGTATTTGCGGTGCAAACCGAAAAAGGCTTGAACCAAAGCAATATAGTGAGTCTACTTCGTGACAGTGGAGAAGCAAACACTGGACTAACCTTTATTTGGTAATGTCTTCTTTTACTTGTTTTAAATGTTTTAATTGTGTATTTTAGATGGAGTTATATAGTTTAATTCCTTGCGCATGTCTGTTAATGACTGGTACGTAGTATTAATTCTGAATATTATTAATAAATCCTTCAGTTTATCTTCATTGCCTTTAACCGGCTATAATAATACTATAAAAGGATTAATTATTAATTGGGTTTTAATTTTGCTTATTTCGCTGACTGGAAAATGCGCTAAATTAAAACCCAGTGAATATGTAGAATTGATTGAGCATAGAACAAATTATCTCAATGATAAAACCGTGAATTTTAAACCCACTGAAAATTAACCATTTTACAGTAATATGTTTATTTCATACTATATGCCACTGACCTAAAAGTATATAGTAGCATTATTAAATATACAATAGTTGAGGGAACACAGTGGACGCGTTGGTACAACTCATGAGCTCGATAAGTTTACCAGAATAAAAATCAGTGCGATAATATAACGGGATATACTGGACACGTATTTTATGAATGAGAATGGTATATGGAGTTGTTTACACAAAATGGACAATGTCTTTCAGGTCTAGCGTTTTTATTTTTAAATATGTGCGGACAAAGTCAAAGTCTGATCAGGATAATTCTATGTAATAAATTAACTGCACGACTTAAATATTTTTCTTGCTGAAAAAATTAGCCTGATTCATTTATATTGGTCTGGTTTTGAGCCTTCGTTGATTTGTTGCTCGATCTTTGTTTAGATAATTCAAGAAATGTCGATTCGCAAATAACTTCTTCATTTATCCAACCTCCACCATCAATAACATCAATTTTTACTTGCGAGTCCGAACATGCTAGGCGTAGTTGAGATTTGTAGTACTGAAGACGTAGCGATCGTTCATTTTGAGTATACTTAAAGCGGGAGGGTCGTCACCTGCGCACGCGCGGGAATTGAGTCCCAAGCGACGATAACAACACATGCTAAACACGCAAAGGCTCATAGGTAGTTGCTTGTTTGTAAACAATGACATGCTATGGCCATCTGACGCATGCGCAAGTGATGACTCCACCGCTTTAAGCAATATTTGACAGTTTTTAAACCCACTATATATGCATACATAAAGTGTTACTGATTTTGTTATATTGTCGCATTGAGGATACCCATACTATATTCCACCATGGACGCTGGAAGAGTGTTAGCTGTATTATTCTTTTTAGCATTGTCATTTGCTGGGCTCAGTTCACTTGCTGCTAATGTAGAGCTTGTTTCAAAGACACTGGTGGATTTTGGACGTGAGTTTCTTTAACATTTAAAACCAACTTTAAAAGCTTACTAAAGTTGGCCCGGATTTAAATTCGGGTTCGAAATTGTTTTAATTTTCGGATTTGGGTGAAGGAAGTTCATTTTTTTCATAAATTTTATGAATTACGTTTTTTCAAAAACAATAAAATCGCGCCATTGAAATTATTTCTAATAATTAGTACACGTTCGGATGAAGAACTTACATTAACATTCAGCGCGTGGATGTCCGGTCGTCTCTCGGGACCTAAATCTCAATATGACAGGACCAAACTGTTAAAAGTTTACACATACATTACAAAAGCATACATCATATGTACGTAAATACATTTGTTTCACGATCAACTACAAAGTGGCCGAATGGCGTCAATTTTTAGGTTTAAAATGCATTAAATGCACGTTCGGTAGCCACCCTATTTTAAAGAACGTTGTTCCAAAGCCATACCGGTGACATGCATTTACAGACATGTCATACAACGCAGTATACATATTAACTCAAACACAATTCAATCTGTGGTAGTACAATGGACCTAGATCAGATATTTATGTAACTAGATTCAAATTTTTTTTAAATATTCACGTGGATAAATTATGTTCAAATGTGGCACATATAGCTATAATATTTGCTACAGTTTTTATAATAGAGTCATACAACGCAGTATACATATTAACTCAAACACAATTCAATCTGTGGTAGTACAATGAACCTAGATCAGATATTTATGTAACTAGATTCAGATTTTTTTGAAATATTTATGTGGATAAATTATGTTCAAATGTGGCACATATAGCTATAATATTTGCTAGAGTTTTTAACGGGTTCGAATAACTTATAATTATTCACATATTGTCAGTGCGAAGAACAAAACATGTGTACACATACACGTCTATGTGGACTTGTATTACGTACACTGCTTCAATACTACGTACGACTTAGCGTATTGAAAATTATGTGGCATTGGTTTAAAAGCATCGTTTTTTTTGGTTTCTCTTGTGTCCTTTTTTTCTCTTTTTTTTTGGGGGGGGGTACTGTTAAATGTTTTCTAAGACGGATGTTTTCAATAATTGACGAAAACACAGTAATATTGGCGTTTATTATAAATCCAAATGTGTGACCATTTTCTGTGTCGTTACGACGTGTATCTTTTGTCTGGGCGTATATTGCTAATTTAAAAAAAGACACTTATGTTGCTTAATTGCCGAATATACCGTTCACAATTCCATGGCATGCTGACGAACATCTGATTAACATATGTTAACGGACGGACGGACGGACGGACAGGCATATAGACAGACAGACAAACAAGATTTTCTCGACAAATATTTGATTCACCATATTTTCTTTCAGTCAATCGCAAATTTGCCGTGTTAATCGTGGTGATTTTCGTGTTTTGTGTCGGCTGTTTAAACGCCACTTACATGGACTTTCTTATAAACCAGGTGAGGCTATGTATGAAAGAGATGACGTAATACTGCATTTGATCAACAACGGTATTTTCGTCGATTTGTTGTGAACCACACGAAAGTGTATTGCCCAAACAAACCCTTTGTAATCTATTGTGAAATTATGTCAACGCAACAACATTTTTAAATTCCTATTTTAGTTTTGTTTTTTCTTATTTGTTTGTTGAACGTCTTTATGAATAATTAACTATATGACGTAATGCACATTGGTGATATCAGGCAAATATGCCAGTAGAATCAATCGTCAGATTTTGTCGTACGCCCGAATTCGCTTCACAATTAATCTGACGTCTAGATTTCGAGAATTCCTGAGTATGGTTTTTAATGGTGGCGAACTACCTTAATATGTCATTTCGGGTTGCTGTGTCACGTGATAATTTTGTCCGATTACGTCAAAATTATCCGCCATTTTGTCGCCCTCGTTCGTAGTTGGTTGGTTCTTTTGAGGTAAACATTCAGGATGTTCTGAAAATATGCAGTCGCTTTTACAGTTGGTTGCAACATAGACCCTCAACAAAGTTGCAATATGGTTGAAGCAATATGGTTGAAGCGGGAGAGTCGTCATCTACTACGCATGCGTCATAGCCATAGGGTGCCATAGCCATAGCCATAGCCATAGGGTGTCAAACAAGCGTCCATCCATGAGCCTTTGGGTTTTTAGCGTGTGTAGTTATCGTCGCTTGGAACTCAATTCCCGCGCGTGCGCTGGTGACATCCCTCCCGCTTTAATCACGCTGCCGTATTGTCAGAATTTTGCTGTCACAGCAAGTTCAAATGCAACTTATATTTCATATTTATGTAATACATATGGTTGTACATAGTTTTATGTACATGTATATTGCATTCTATATACTAGGGTATCTTCTGTCAATTAATTAATATGTTTATTCATTCAGGACTTTGTTTGGGGATTCGCCTTAATTATATCCGGTTTGGTGTTCCAATATTTGGTTATACGTTATGGTACGACTCAGTTTAGATCCAAACTTATCAATGATTACAGTACAGATGATTGGTATCTACCAAAGATATGGGAATGGATTGTAAAGTAAGTAATATTTGTAGTTCATTTAGTAAAAACATTCTCAATGATAGCTAAATGTTCCGTTACCATGCACTGGAACACCATTAATC